GTGAAAAGAGATCAGAAATGACTTAAATACCAAAATAAGAAAACTTTAGCCAGTGTGTTTAAGAACAGCAACAGCAAAAAAAAACACACACAGAGAAAAGAAAATACGAAGCGGCCAACCAACAGAACGGTTCATCAACATTTCAAGTAGTTGAGCGACAATTCAAGAGTTTACCTAAAAAAAATTCGTTTTTCTCGTTCATTTTCAGCTTTGGCTAAGCCGTGAAGAGCAACCTAATCGATGCCTCGAAAATCGGTGTCTCTCGTACACGTATAGAAAACGCGTGAACAGGTTCATGTTGTTCTGGAAAATTAGTCTTATATTATCTATTTAATTGCTATATTATTTCCAGTCGTCACATTTAGCCCATCCTCAGCTGCGCAGCTTTCAACTCACTCTCAAAACACAAGTCAAACCATCGTCATCGTCATTTTGCAATCACCTTTTTTTCTGCTCTTAAACGCTTCGCCTTTTTTTATCGGTTTAGTTTTCTTATGATGGTCGTTTTTTTTTCTCTCTCTTGTTTCGTTATTGTTTTGCGAATGAACGCTTTATGACGATGAAAGACTTAATCGATTTCACAAGATATTTCAGACATTCTTGTCCTTTCTCGCGTCGGTTTTTGTGTTGTTCTGTTGCGCTGCTGCTGCTTGATCCACCTGGATGAGGCGAGTGTGCACCATCTTTAAGTGAAGAGTTTACAACAATAATTGTGTACAACAGATTTTTTTTTCTTTAATAGTGGCGCAAAAACTGAACTACAAGCGAAGAAAAAAAGTTGACGCATCATGCCACACAACATTGCACTCACAATATTTCCTTTCGCACAATGTTGACAAAGCTATTTGCACGATAAACGATTAATGTGCTGGATAAAAATGAAATAATCACAACGTGATTTTCAGGTGATTGCCGATTAAACGCACAGTTGCCCGAAGATTTATGACGGAAATTACATAAAAATAATAATCGTTTATTATATGCGAATTTCCCATTAAATAACTTTGAAAAAATTCGCCAATTTCGTTCTGTTAAGTGGTTTAGGAAGAATGCAGTATGTGGTGGTCTCAAAAGGAAAAGGAACGAAAAAAAAACTGTGCTTAGAATGGAAAGTGCATGGCAAGAATCTTGGATTGAGATGACTTTGGCTAGTTTCATTTTGGTATTATGGAATATAACCAATTGAAAAGTTAGTCACTTGAGAAAGTTTCTCGCTTCTTTGCGTAAAGAAGAGAGAAGTTGCGTGAGGAGCATACAATGAGTTGGCGGCTTGTTTCTGTATCAGGTGTTCAAAATTTACGATGTGGTCGCATACCTGATGAAAGCGATTATTACATATTTGGTCATTTGTTTTATACGAAAAGCCTAATACACAAGAGCTGCATGACCAAATATAGTGCGAGTGAAAAGATGTACAATGTCGTTTGATAATGCAACGAGCCATGCATTATTCATTTCGTTTGTCATCGAAGACATGTTCGGTTCTGTATGTTTTGTTCAACTTCCACAAATTAACCGGTTTCTAATATATTTTTACTATGGATTTTTGCCAGCCTCTCTCTATCTCTCTCCTTCAGCCTCTCGAATTCTGTTTCACTAGATTATTTCGGATTTTATTTAACTGAAAACATAAGCGAATCGTTCTCCGTTTATAAATTGATTTTGCGAATTCGAAGAGCAAGTTAAGAGAACAACCGAACACCATACATTCTGACGTGGATTTTGTTTGCGGTGCTCATGGTTCGTCAGTGAATTCACGTGTTCATTCAGCCAACGCCTTGGGTTGGCACAACAATTTGAATTGATGTGTGTGTGGCTTCAGATTCAGATCCAAATCATGTATTGAGATACATGTACAATGCAATTAAATTGAATCAAAATTCAATTTTATTGGAATATTTTGAACTCAATTTAAATTAAATCATTCAATAATTCGATAGACATATTGAAATGAACATGAAACTGACCAAAATCCTATCCAATTCCTTAACCAACGAATTTGCTTGTTTCAAGTTTTTGAGAATAAGAATTTAATTCAAAATTGAATCTTTCGAAATAGCACACATACACCCAAAATCAATTGTACGGTTGGAAATATCTTGCAAGAAAAAGTGTTCAGTGTTCACATCAAAACCTCGGTGTTTCATCGTTCGGAAAAGTGGTTTGAATTTATGCTTTGAATGAAATAGTTTGAGGTGAATGATTTGCAATAAAGACAATTTAAAATTTATTGGTGTTTGTTGTTCCCATTTCATAATTGTCGCCAATAATCTCTAGTAATATCGACCGCGGTGTAAGAATCTTATGCGGCGAAATCTCATAAACGGTACATTTTGCAAAAATTTGCACCAATGTTTAATGTTTCTTTTTCTCTCGTTTGTGCCTTCTTCTGCTTTTATTCGTTGGTTCTTGGTTGGTGTTTTGGTTGGTCTTTGGTTGAATTGTCATTTTCACTGTTCACTTATATTGCGATGATGTAGATGAGCTTGTTGTTCCGTGTGCAAACATTTCAGCTAACATACACATTCTGGTTCGTTAAGCTCCCATATTCTATTTCATAAGCGGTTTAACAAAAGACTTCATGTTCGCTACGCTTTAAATGAACATTGACTTATGTACGACGTCATGAATAAATAAATGAAAAGCCATGGGAATGCACACCGGTGAATTTACACATTGGAAACACTTGTCTATATCGAATCTGTTCTGAAGTAAAGCACCAAACTCTGACTGAGTATTACGGTAGAAATATTAATTTTCTTCTCTCTTTCTTCACTATCCATCTATATCTCACCCGGTTCGTTTCATAGCGCGCTGGACAGCATGAGAGAGCTATGAACTGGATACGATACTTATTGCAGCAATATTTAGAAGAAGAAAAAAAAGGATTGCGACCATTTCCCACTATTCTGCGTTGTCTGATAAACATTTAAAAAAAAAGAAGAAAAAAAGAAAATCAGGTGACGAATTCAAATAACATTTACTAATACCCCGACAAATTAATCCGTCGAGTTTTGAGTGTAAAGCCGCCGGTAAGTGCATTTTGTTCGTATGGTCGCTGAGCGCTGTTTATCAGTCATGTCATTTAGATTGGGTCTTCGAAATTGAATCGTTCGTCTTTTTGTGTTTGTGCCTAAAAGGTGCGCAGCTTAATGACAATCTCTTAATGAGAGACGACGGATATGAATGAAGACGTTGTCGTTTCAACACATCACAACTCTCAAGAGAATTCCACATTTTAGATGAAATTTTTGTTTCGTTTGGTCTTGAGTATGGCGATAAAAAATGCCCATTTCAGGTTCATAATCAAGACGCTAGCTCAATTTTGAAATATATGCTATTTCTCTATATCGCATCCATCTTCAACATTTTGAGCTATAAACGATTGTAATTACGAAAAACACTCTGCACGATTACTCTAAATTGAGTTGAAAACACTTTCTCGACCTGACGTGCCATTGCTTACATTAATTCTCATTCGAGAGAGATCGATATATCTGTTCAGGTTTCGGCATCATGTGATGTGAGTATGTGTATGTGAGCGATTGCGTTTTGAAAAATTAGGTGCTATCGACGACGACGGAATGCCTGATTATCTAACGATCATATTCAAAATTGGTGTGGCTTTTGTTTAGCACTTTTATTGCCGAAAAATTAACCACTTCAACAACGAAGATACAAAAGTCGAAGAAACGAAAATAATGGACCATAGTAGAAACAAAAGCGATACAAAAGAGAAAAGAACCATAACGAGATGACGACTCATTCAAAATAGGCCATAAAAATGCGTATTTGAATTTAAATGAAACGGATGGTTTACTTTATTAACTGTTCTTTTTTTTGCATACCATCGACGACGAATAACACATTTGACGATGGAGTCAATAAAGTAAATTTCACGAGCATTTCAGTGATGATAACGAACGTTATTGAAGAGCGAGAGAGAGAGAAAAGCATAGAGTTTTTATTCGTAATAGTGTACATAAGCATTAGATATTTCAACGGATTTAATGCTTCGATAATCAAGACGGTATTTCTCCTCATTTCGATGATAAATCAACTCTCATTTTTATTCAGTGACACCAGTTCTTGGCTGCGTTTTTTATGCTGTCAATCGGTTTGCGGTTCGTGTTTAGTTCGAGGTATCGTCATTCGGTGATCGCACCACAACAAAGTGCCAACGATAATCGGTTCGTTTGAGAATGATGAAAAAGAAAAAGAATTTATGTGCGTGTGTGTGTGTGTGCTTGAAAGCGCGGGTCAATAACAGTAGTCGTTAGTGCCAAAATCACCAGAGCAAAATGCTAATCAACTCATTTAAAATAACGTATATCAAAGGTGCTTACTACTACATAGCGTTTAGGCATTTGAAAAATCAACTGTAGTGTGTGCGCGCGCGAGCGGGTCATAACCGAAACGTGGAACAGAAGACGCGATGAGAGAGCGAGAGAGAGAGAAAGTAAGAAAGAACGAAATACAAAGCTAGGAGTCCAATGGATTTTCGATGGTATTAGAAATTGAAAAGCAAACAGAAACAAGAGAGAGAGATGCGTAGCATCAGAGAGATGTTAAAAAAAATCAAAATCAAATTAATGATCCATTAAAGAGCTGATGGTGAGAGAACATTATTCATGGCAGCAATACGTTGAAAATGTTCGAAATCTCGTATACGAGCCGTGTGTATCGCATTAGTGATTTATTTCTTAATTATTCTCCCTTTGCTGTGGCTATTTTAACCGACTACTTCATAAAACTTATCAAAATCGAAATGGAATTATAAACTGCGGGCTATAAAACGTTCTTATTTGATTGTAAAGTAATGATCAACATTTCAACCGATCGAATGAGGTAATTTCGACTTCAATTTTCTAATTTGCAGTCTGAAGAACTGAAGTGTATAAATGAAAACAAAATTTGTATGTTTATTGATTAAGCCTCTTATGGTGGGCGCGTAGTGCGCACACTGAATTTATCCATTAAATTTGAATGAAAGCACTCACCACTAATTGTACCATCAATACTAAAAGCGTTTCGATCCTGTAATGCCCAAGTACATAAATCACATGTTGTTAAGCCATCCGGTGTGACTGTGTCATCCCAAAAGGGTGGCCTTGGCGGTGGCGGCACAAATCGTCCATTCCATAAACCGCTTTCGCTAGCATCAAATGGTAACGACGAGTAAAATGAATCCTCCTCAATAGCATTCGACCACCATTCTGCAAATGGATACAGGACTTGAATGAATATTTTAAACGATTCGGTAGAGTGAAATTCATAATTCCCACAATGCATTTTCAATCGCATTATATTGGGGAGTTTGCGGCGCAAAGAGAATAATATCGATGTTAATAGAGTATTTTACCTTGTTGATCATCGGATGTAACGGCGGCATTCGTAGTGGATGCCAATGAAGGTACGTTTGGAACTGTGGCTGTCGGTGTTAGGTCTGAACTAGGGTTTATTGGCACTCTGGAGAACATTTTGCTTATTCCTGGAAACGAACAGAACGAGATATTTATTAGTGATATTTTTTTTTGTCATTATTTCAGATCAAACCATAAAACAAAATGAATAATTTAACTAAAATGTGCAGAAATAGATTTGGGCTATGCCCTTTTTTTAAATAAGATCGTAAAAAGAGAACAAACAAATTTGGAACAATGAAAGTCGATTATTTTATCGGTCAGGCCATTAAAATTGATGGAATAGAACAAAGAAAACAAAAGCACATGTGTATTCGATGTTCGTTTTCCAGACATAATATTTCTGGTTTTTAGCCCACATTCAATAGTACTGTTGACGTGTGTGCACACTGCGCGCGCGCTCACACACATTTTCACAATGGACAACATATACATATAAATTGTTTTTGAAAAGACACTATTTCTAGTTTCGGATAAAAATCTCTTTGTGAAACTTTTCATTTATGGGCATCGAACGGTAATCCAATGAAGAGAAGAAAAAAAAGCACAGAACACATCGACCGTTTGAATTGTGAGAAAACGATAAATTCTTTTCAGTGTTCGGCAGACATAACACACAAAATCAAGCGATTTTCATTTGATTTGTACAAAGGCGGACACCAAAAAAAGCCACAATATATGCATTTGACCAAAATTGATCACCATGCATGCGAATGCAGCGCAACAATCAAACAAACAGAAGGAAAAATTTTATTATTTCGGCTTATTAAGCTGCACATTTTCGCAAGCGGAAAAAATCAAAGGCTAACAATGAATTCTATAAAAAAAAGCACATGTGAATTTCAGCTTCAGCCATTTGTTCCGCATTTGAGAGTGAGAACGAGAAGAAAAAAAACACTTTGGTTTGGTGAGCAAAACTGCAGCGTACGCGCGCACGCTCACTGCAACAGTATCGGCTTTGATTTCAACCGAAAGATATGCAAGAGGAAAAAAATAAATAATTGACACAACAATTAATGGGCGATGGAATGGTACGTTAAGCGAGCCGCAAATATCGGGGCGTTATTTGTGAGTGACTGTGTGTGTGTGTGTGAGTCAGATCAGTTCATTGTCTTTTATTGGAATCGTGCAATTCGAGGTTTTCGAGCACAAATTATGTTGTAACGAAGCGAATATCTGGCGGGCGAATATATACATATCGGTGTTTATATGCCGATCAGTGCGGCTCACTCTGCATATATACGTTGCGCCGCATATTTCTCAAACCACGTGCTAATGCGGTATTTAAATTAGATTTCACTATGCAATTATTTTGACAAATAGCTTCAAAATAAGTGGCAGTAATAGTACATTTATTTCGCTATTTAAACGATAATCGCATGGAAATGAGTGCGATTTTCCGTCGTTTTTCACCTCCTCAAAACGATTCGATCCGGACTTTGAAATTAATTCCAATGCAAACCGAACAATTATTGGATGCTTCAAACTAAATGATTAGTTTGAAGTGGTGAATTGATTTTCGTTGAGTATGTGTGTGTGTTTGCGATTTTATTTTCAAGTGTTGTTTGACGGTATGTTATTGTCATAATCTCTGTCTCTTTCCTCGAACGAAATCCCATAAGATTTGCACGTGTGAGTGAGTGAGTGCTTTGCTTTGTGCACGGCCGCCTTTTTTTGTCATTCGTTCTCTAATTTTCTCTTTTGGGCCCTGATAACGGGAAATAAGTCCATATAACGGTGAATCTGCACACGACGCGAAACACACAAAATAAAGGTCCGATCGGCATTTCATGCCATTTTATCTGGATATTCGAAGTGAGCTGTCATTTCTTGCCCGCGCGCGTCCTATTTACCATAATAATAATGAACTTCTACACACCACACTGGAAGTACCAATTTATTTCTGAATCTCAAATGAATCAATCGAACGAAGTAAACAATTTAAATGGCAATACTTTTATTTTGGCATTGACCATTTTCATTTAGCCGGGTGTGTTTTTGGCATCAGCCAGTGTATGTTGTATTTGTGGGTCCACAACGTCTACGCATCATTCCCATCCGGTGATATCAGTGTGTACGCGGCAGTCAGTATATGCAGATTATCAACAGACATATGGCCAGTGGGACCAATTATCAAAAATCTTAATGTCTCTATCGATCGACATAATAATATGGCACACACGAACGAAGCAACAGCAGAAGAAGGAAAAATGCGCGCAACATACACACACACACACACACACACACACACATAACACGGAAAGAATTTATTAACTCAATGCCAACTGCCGTTTCCAGGAAAGCCTCAGAACGAATCCTCCTGAAGAAGCGAAAATGAACATTTAGCCAAGCCAAATGGATAATAAATAAACACATACAACAAACCGCCGCCCGTACAAATGCATAAAATCAAGACATGGCGAAAAGAACAACACGAAGAATTTAAAGAAGAAAAAGCAGAGAACGAAGCGATCCGATTGAAAATCCCCCCGTATTTGGATTGCGCCTAACCCATAGTTAACAGAAAAGAGGATTGATCACGAGCTAAACAAAATGAATTTTTCACTAATACCAATCGAAAATCGGTCGACTGTTTATTGTTAAACAGAACACACTGAATTAAGACTTGAGCCGGTTGAAATGCAAAATGGAAAAGTGCACAGCACACACACACACACGGACACATAGCGCAGCGTGCCGTGACTTAATGCGCTCCTATCGTTGTTTTCTTTTTCTGTGCTCTTTTCCATTCCATTTTCGGTGTTCTGTGTGTTTGAGGTGGTGTTGCTGTCGTTGTCGTTGCCAAAGCCGAAGCTGGTCAATCAAGGCAACATACTCTATAGCAGAAAATGCGCACAGCATACGCATTTGAGTCTGCATTCCCTTCCAGCCTATAATTAAAGTAATAAGCTGAAATTAACGAAACGGTGAAAATGTTGCATCAAATTCATTTTCGATTTCGATTTTCTTCTTTCAAAGCATCGAATGAGCAAAAGATCGAGTGTGTGTGTGTGTGTGTGTTTGTGTGGAAAGAGACTTAATCCATGTTGTGTTGTCTTTAATTTTGTTCTTTTTTGCCAGATGCCACAGCGAAGAAAAAAAGAACACTTGAAAACACACAACCGATCGGATATTGGCAATATGCTTTGGCTTTTGTACCGTTTAACAACTAAATTTTGAGCTATCGTTGCATTTAGCTTTTGGCTTTGGCACAGAACTGTTCACATTCTGAACACAGATAAAAACGAAGAGAGAGAGAGAGAGAGAGAGAGAGAGAAAAGTTCAGCGCCGATGGATGAAACGAGAGAAAAAAAATGTTACAACATTTTTAATGTTTGTATTCTGAGTACAGTTTTGCACTTTTTGTACTCTGTTGCGAGTTGATGTTGTTGTTTTTACTGCTTTTATTTGTTCTATCTCGCTCATGTATCCAGGAACGAGTGTGTGCTGCACTTTTTTCTTTCGTTCCATGTACACTTTGTACTTTTTAATGGATTGGACGACATGCGATACTTTTTTGGCAAGTTCACATGTAATTTTATGGGTTGAGTGTCATTTTATTGGTATTGGCTTTATTGTCTTTTATTTCATCACATTTCTGTTACGCTCTTTTCACGGCTAGTTTAATGAATTTCCATGTATACGTGTAAAATTTAGCCGCATTACACGTATAAACATAGAAAGAGGAAAAAAAAGTAACAGAATTTAAGAAGAAATAAAAACAAATGCTGCTCCGCAAGTGCATTTAAGCAATTGAAAATAACATTGTGCTATGCATTTCGTTTTCGTCGTCGTGGTCGTGGTCGTCGTTCATTTTTACTGAAATTCAAACCGGCTACAATGCCAAACCATATGAAACATTATTCATTTGTTGATCCTTACTGTACACATATTTTGTGTCAGCCTTGTCGCATTTCGTTATGCATACATGAAAAAATCGCGCGAGCATTGTTTCGGAAAAATCAAATGGGAGTTAATAAATATTGACACTTCGGGAAAATAACGTACGATGTGTGTGCTAAAACACAGAAGGAGAGAGAGAGAGAGAGAGAACGGAAAGTGTGAGATAGTCAGTCACCAAGATGTGGAGACATGTTATTTGCCTTATTTGTCTTATGATTATTTCACCTTCTTTTTCCACATTATACTTTGCTTCGTATTATCGCATCGAAATGTTCAATCATCGACTGAGGTGCGCTGCTGCATCAAAATGAGTCCACTTCGAAATAATTCAATGTGTGCAGCAGCCGAACAGAGGGAAAATTATTCAAAAAGAGGAAAATGGAACGGGTGAGAGAGAGAGAGAGAGAGAGAGAGATCCATTGGAACAATAACCCAATGAATTAGAATATTATCGGAATGGCCAGTGTCACTGCTTATCGCAAAGCAAATCTAATAAAAATGTCAGGATTATGAATGCATTTTCAATTGGTGCGTGTTCGTGTGTGTGTGTGTGTGTGTGTTTGTGTTTGTTTGTTTGTACGACACAGTAAAAGCTGATGTTTAAAGTGTGAGCAGACTAAAGCTTTCACGCCCAGTAATCTGTTCGTGGCTAAAACACGAATCCTTACAAAGGCGCAAAACATTTTATGAAACCATTCAAACTGTCTCGAACTGCATGAGATTTCTAGTAGTCGGGCTCTGTCATCCACATACACAAGCGCACATGCATACAATCACACTTGCACCCATAATCACACTGTGTACGCATATGCCCCCCACCCGAGAATGCAAGCAGCTTGTGCTCTCTGCTCTGTAAAAAAAAGTTTCTAAAGAAAAGTCGAGCGACCAAAGGGTCGCATCCACAATATTCTGCGCTAAAAATGGCTTTTTCGTTTTCTCCTTTCAATTCGCTTGTTATTATTATTGTTGTTGTTGTTTGTGCTGTTTGTTTGGTTCGCTTTTTTCAGTAGTATTTTGGATTTATAACTCGTTTGTTGCATTGTTGTCACCGAGCGATTTGCTATTTTTCACTTTGCCGTGTTCACATTAGCGTCACATCCACACACACACACACACACACACACACACACACGAGACCATTGTTGTGAATGCAATTTAATACATT